AACTAGACCCTTTTCAGATGATTCAGCCAATGCCAGTCATGGTTCCAGTCCAGGGACACAAGGACTTAGGGCCCCTGAAGAGCAGGGGGTTCTCCCATTGTCCCAGCATCGGGTCTGCAGACGTATTTCCAGTGTGTCAGGGCACGCTGGACCTTAATTATCTGGATAAATCAGATTCCCCAAACAGTACCAGTCAACGATTCAATTAATTAAAACATAGTATGTTAAAAAAAAATCTCTTAATTGGTTCTTAGACTAGAATTCTGGCTTCAGGGTGTCTACGAACCCCCTAAAATTTAAGCATAAATTATTTTGCATGTAAACTTTTGCGGTGGCAAGGGAACGCAACTTCTTAACAAATTTCAAAGGAGTCTGTGATTAAGTAAGAGGTTAAGAACTACTCATTTTCTTAATTGGTATGTGAAAATACATTCTAACTGTACTTGGCTCTTAAAATGTGCAATAATGGCTAACCAAGTTTCTGATCTTTCTCCCTAAACTTTCTAAATACTTCTTAAAGGTTTTCATTACAAGGAGACTCATTTACAGCATGGGACACAGAATTCTTAAAATTCACAACAGGAGGTTCAAATTAAAATTTAAATATATGATGATAATCATTCCTTCAACTTGGGGTGTGTTTGACGATTTCTGCCAAATAGTCTAAAAGTTGTTTAGTTATAGTTTTTGACCATGAGATCCTCTGTCAACCATTTTTTTTAAATTTTAAAAATTAAAACTTGAGTGTTACAGGGGTCTGTGTATGTCCAACATCAAACTGTACACGTTAAATATGTGCACTTCTTTGTACATCAATTCCTCCTCAATAAAGCTTTCGTTTTTTTAAAAAAAGAAACCCAAATAGAGGAAACAAAAGTTATGACTGAGAATAGATCAGATAACTAAAAATAAGGCTTCTTGATCTAAATGATACAATCAGAACCATGAGCTCTGGGGAAAAAAAACTACTTGTGTGTTAAAATGGCAATGGAACTATTTCAAAAACAAAATGTAAAAATAACTTTTCTGAAATGATGGATGCCAATGTTTGACCAATGAAAATCTCAGTGACACTACTTGTACCCATGGAAACACTAAATCTGAACTTCTGAGTTGGTTTTTAAACTGTTAAGTTGAGAGTCTGTCTGGAATGGTGAGTCTGTAACTTTGCAGGCCCCTGGGAGGTGTCATGATTGGCCCCCAATATTCAAAGTTTGAGTGACATCAGCTTCTCTTCTTGGATCTGGAGGGAGGGAGCAGAGGAAATTTACTCCAACATTCTCCTCTTTCTAGAACGGGAGTTTTCAAGTTAGAATCAAGTGAGAAGCTTTGAGAACTCTCCATACTCAGGCCACACCCAGACCAATTAAATCCGAATTCGTGGGTAGGTCCCGGGCACTGGTATCTTACAGTGTCCCAGGTGACTCCCACGTGCAGCCAAGGTTGAAAACCACGACTCTAGCAAAACATAATTATTTTAAGATCAAATTTATACCAGGATCTTCCTTTGCTTCAAAATGTTTTCAGGGCTGACAAAATGTCACTGTTTGCACGTGTTATCACAATTCAGATCATTTACAGATGACCATCTGTATCTCTTTTTACTAGGGCAAAGTTATTAAAAATCAAAGGGCAGGGCTGGCCCCATAGCCAAGTGGTTAAGTTCGCGTGCTCTGCTTCGGCAGCCCACGGTTTTGCTGGTTCGGATCCTGGGCGCGGACTTAGCACTGCTCACCAGGCCATGCTGAGGTGGAGTCCCACATGCCAAAACTAGAAGGACCCACAACTAAAATATACAACTATGTACTAGAGGGCTTTGGGGAAAAGAAGGGGAAAAAAAATTTTTTTTAATTAAAAAAATAAAAAAATCAAAGGGGCTAATTGCAACTGAATCCTGGAAGAGAAAAAGACATTCATGGGAAAACTGGTGAAACTTGAATGAAGTCTATAGTTTAGTTCCAATCATAATATACTATAGTACCAATGTTAATTTCTTAGTTTCGACCAATGTAACAGGGTTTGTAAGATATCAGCATCTGGAGAAGCTGGCTGAAGCATATATGGGAACTCTCTGTGCTATCTTTGCGACTCTTCTGTAATCTAATAATTTCCAAATAAAAAGCTAAAAAATGAAATTAAAAAAAGGAGAAGGCAGAGCCAGTATGAATGCTGCAAAACTGTGGATTAGCTGACAATATTAAATATCTTTGGGCATAAAGTCTTGCACTGTGGATTTAGACACTATTAAAGAATACAACTTCTGGTGTGAGAGAAGCTTAGAGAAACTTCCAATTTCCTGTCTACATTCTACTTTATATACATTTTCTCCAGGCCCTTCCAGATCCTACAAAATGTCCTCAACAGCAGTCAATATTGAAAGACTGACTGACAATATATAACCTAAGAGTCATACACGCTCCTATTAGGAATGATAATGCTCTGGTCATATCTCACACGTGCACAGTATTGTGAGGTTTATCAGCATGTTCCAAACGTTAGTCTTGTTTGATTTGCATTAGGAAATAGGCAAATACATAGGATACACCGGGCCGGAACAAAGGATGAACATTCTCTTGCATTTTACTATAAAATACATAGGGAAGCACTTGTAGAAATCACACACACACACTACATGACAGTACACACGCACAATCTGAAAACAAGGTTATTAAAAGATCTAGCGTCTAGCGGTGCCCAGAGTGAGGGCTGGGGGCAGGTAGGATAAGGCTAGTGGTTACTGACATAATCCTTTCCTACCAGGAAAAGGAGAAAAGTTCAGATTACTCAAGAGGCCACCAGCTAACATCTGGTGGCCCCAGGTGTTGTCAGGCGGTGACTGACTAGCCCTGAGTCACTGTCGTCCCCTTTGTTTCTGTCCCCTTGTCCTAGTCCCTTGGTGGCCCCTGTTTCCTTGGGGCCCCTGACATTCGCTGCTTCCCCTCCATGAGTCAGGCCCATCTGCCAGTTCTTTTTCTGGAACTGGCTGCCAGCTGCGGCTCTTTGCTACTGATCCGCTGGCTGCCCGCCATTCCCGCGATTGCTGGAGAAACCCTACCCCCCAGACTCAGGGGAAGGGGATGGTGGTGGTCACACTTTCTCTGGACCGTGCCAGAAGATGGCTCATATCCTCTGCATCACCGTCCCGCCTCCACTGCCCATTCTCCCCACTGAAGGGAGTGGGACGCCGTCCTCCAGCCTGGCCTCACGCACACATACTCATGCACAGGCACGCCTTCCTGCAGCCCAGAGGAGCAGGAGAGCTAAGACCCAGAGCATCTGGCTTCACTCGGTGGGACAAGCAGGCTGTGCTGTGCTTTCCCACCCTGCTTTCTGGGATGTGTGGCTTTCCTGCTCCTGTCTCTCCCGGGAGGAGAATGACTTTCTACCTTCCAGCCGGTTCCTCCTGGACAGTGCCGCTAGGGCAGCGATGTGAAACATTCGGCAGCCGCGTTCTTCCTCGTCGGCCCGGGACAACATGTCCATCCTTTGATTCTTTTTTATTCAAGAGGGAAGTCTAACTGGGACCATCTAGAGTCCACAGGATCTTCCAGCAGAGTCAGCTTACTTGAGAAGTGTGAACAATGGGAGGTGATTAATTGAAACCTCTGGTTTCCTTCTAGTTAGTGAAAAATACATGAAGAACAATTTAGGGGGTTTACAGTGATTCTCAGGAGAAAAGGCAGAAAATGTGCATTTGTGAAAGTAGTTGTTTTCAATGTCCCATTGTCTCAAAGTGTTCTTTTCGTGACTATGCTGGCTCCGTGCCACCACAGCCCTCTGGTTCACAGCGTGCTTACTTGGCCCTACCCACAGGCACAGCGACTCTGCTAGACCAGGGGCATCCTCTCCTGCCTTCCTTTGGGCTCACTTCCCCGCAGGCTGCAGGGCCAGGGGCTGACTTGTTCTTCCAGCTCTCTTGAGGAAGATATGACTCTGCTCCTCCACCTGCTCCCGGATCACAACACTGCCTGAAATGTGCTAACTTACAGGACGACCCTACGTTCCAGTTTGCCCAAGACAATCACAATTTACACCCCCTCTTACTCACAGGGTCACAATTTGGATAACACAGCCCCCGGCCCCCCTGCCCATCTGCTGCTCCCGAGTTAAGTGCAGCCACATCTGATCGTCTCTCCTCCTGACCAACGGGGATGCCTCTTGTCCTCGCTTCTGAGCCCATCGTGCCTCGATGGCACCATCTGATCATTGCGGCATGGCCTCCCCTATACTGTCTTGTCCAGCCACTAACCTAATCCTGATCCATTAGTATTTTAGGAAATCCTCTTGGTAATTCTAAAGATTTGGAGGAGTGCACGTATGTTTGTGTGTTTGTGTGTGTGTGTGTGTGTGTATACATAGAGGAAAGAAAATTATGAAACATGCTACAACAGCTTATTTTTACCCAGGAATCTGTGCAGATATTCACTGTACTCTTCTGCTAACCGTATATTAAGAAGGAAACTGAAATTTTAGTAAAGTACTCCTTATTTGCATTGCAAAACACCACTTCACAGAGCCAGACTGTAGGACCACTGAAAACGATGATGTGAATTTTTGAGTTTTATGTTCTATTTCAGCTTAGACAGTGAAACTGCGCAGACACTTTTCATTTTGAATTTACCATCAAATTCACTTCCCGTTATTGTTATTCCAACACTGGAAGAGAAAGGCTTAATTTCCAGAAGTTTTTATTTAACTTTAATAGAAAACAAACCCATACAAATCTACGTTTTAAAACAATAAACATTTCGGTTCTGAGCACGAACCTGCTTGATTATAAGAACTCGTCTACCTAATAATTTCACAATATTAGCATCACCCTAATTACATCCTTGGGCCGTTCCAGGCATGATCACAAGGCCTTTGAAATTCAGATGATGAACTCGGACTGACCCCACACCACAAGACCCAAGTGGCCGGCAGCTGACTGCACAGTGGGGACAGTGCGAGCTCAGGGTCTGCACTCTCCTTCACGTTCCGAGGGCTCGTGGGGCACTTACGTCTCATCTGTGAAGGCGATTCCAAAGTATTCCTTTTCCTTCAGGTTGAAGTGAGATGCCACGAGGTCAAGCAGCTCCTTGGCCAAAAGCTTAGGCTGGAGGAAGAACCAAATGGAAAAAACGGTAAGTGATGAGAGGCAACTTTCCCTAAAACATGCAATCTCAGGTTTATTTACGTTTTAAAGAGAATGTCTCAAAGCTCAAGTACATCAATCCAAATGATCTGATTTTTTGATTTTTTTTTTTTTTTTTTTTTTTTTGCTGAGGAAGATTTGCCCTGAGCTAACATCTATTGCCAATCTTCCTCTTTTTGTATGTGAGCCTCTGCCACAGCATGGCCACTGACAGACAAGTGGCATAGGTCTGCACCCAGGAACTGAACCTGGGCCACCAAAGCGGAGTGTACCGAACTTAACCACTAGGCCACTGGGGCTGACCCAATACAAACGATCTTTATAAAACCCAAAGGAGTAGACAATGAGGACGCCTCTGAGCAAAGAGTCAAGTACAGGGCCATCAACACATTGAGACCTTCTGCCCTGTTTCCTCAGTTTGTTCTATCAACAATTAGTACTCGCTCACTGACAGGGCTGAAAAACCCTAGGGTTCTCCTTCCCTACACAGAACATTCTATGCTGAATTGACAGGAAAAAGCCTTATTTAAAAATACATAAATATAGAGAGATACATCTCTCTCTCTCTATTCAACATGTGCTTATATAGTATTTGCTCTGTGCCAGGCCTCATTCTAAGCACTTTACAAACAGTGGCATCTTTAACCCTCATCACAGCCCTATGAGGTGGTCCTATTATTCCTCCCATTGTACAGGGAGGCAATGGGCGCCCCAAGATTAAGCAGGTGTTGGGGCTGAGATCTGAATCCTGGCTCCAGAGACTCTGCCCTCGGCCACTCCACATACTCCCGTAATTTGAAACCTAAACAATAAACGTACCCTCCTGCAAGAAATGTTATAATTAAGGCCACACAGCCTTGGGAATAGGATTTAAGAATAAACTGAAAATTTACCTTCCATTTGCCTTTCCAAAAGAAAAGAATCATCTCTACCTAGGAATGTTTTTATCATAAACGCTTTCCTAAACAGCTCTGCCAATCCACAGGAGTGCACCAGTGCTTCAGGCATGCCATCCCTGTAGATGCTTGCATTGCCAAGACATCATTCACTTTGCTCTGTCACTGCTGAGAGGATGGGAGACTGCGAGGCTCTGAGGTGGGGGACAGGGAATAGGTCGTCTGATAGGGAAATGGGGCTAAAAGGGCACGGTTATTTCTAAATTAGCTCCCAGGTCAGGTAGATGCAAATGGATTGTCTTTACTCTACAACTGCTCTGTTCCAAGTGTCCTCACTGGATGGCTCCAATCTCAGAAAAAGCAGATTTCAGGAGAGAAAATGTGTGTTGGTGTTTGTGTGCATTTATGCACATTAATACACCCTTTCTGAGTCTATTTCCTCTTCCACTGGTTATTCTGTGCATTTCTTTTAGGAGAGTGGATAAGGCATGTCAGTTAAGAGTCAAACGACAGTTTGGTTTCTTATTTCACTGTTTTGGGTGCTGCCATAGACTGCACGGTGTCCCTCTCAAATTCCCACATTGGAGCCCTAGCCCCGAGTGTGATGGCCTCTGGGAGGTGATGAGGTTTAGGTGAGGCCACGAGAGCGGGCCTCCACCATGGGAATAGCATCCTCATAAGAGACACTGGAGAGCTTGCTCGCTCTCTCTCCCCACCACGCGAGGTGGTGAGACACAGTGAGGACACAGCAAGAGGGCTGCCGCCTGCAAGTCAGGAAGACAGCCCTCCCTAGACCCCGACCAGGCTGGCCCGCTCGTCTCTGACTTCTGGCCTCCAGAGCTGTGAGAAAATAAATTTCAGTTAAGTCACCCAGCCTGTGGCATTTTGTTGCAGCTGCCCGAGCAGACTAAAACAAGAGACGCTTACTGAGTGTGTGATATGTGCAGGGCACCAGCCAAGGCTGCAGGAGACACACGCAGCACCTGCCAATAAGGACCTTAGGCTTTTATCAGGGGCAGAGAGTAAAAGCTAGGGTTCCTTTTAAAGAGCCAACTCAGATGGTTTCCCTTTGCTGCCTCACTCCTGGGCTCGCAAGGTGGCGTCCTCCGGGCCGCAAAGGCCATCAATTTTCCAAGGAAAACAGCTGGCAATGACCGGAGCGGGTCTGAATCTAGGGCCAAGCTTCCTCCCCCAGAAGACATAATAAACCAACAGGAGAATCCGTCTTGAGAAATCAACACCATCTAAAATTCTATACTTCCATTCATGCTACAAAGTGGAAAAATGAAAAAGCAATCGCTGTAACCAACAGGGAATTCGAGACTTTATGTAAGACCTTCCTTCCTAAGGAGCAGAAATCTCGCCCAGGGGAATGGCATGGAGGAAACATGGCACATCTCAGGACGGCACTGATAAATTACAAAGTCGAAACCAAGATGAGGGGCTTCTTGAAGCTGCAAACTGTCTTTGCCACGGGCTGCTGCAGGCTCTGCCAGCACCACCTCCACTTCCAGAAGGTACTTGGCTGCCCAGACACAAAGCAATTAACGTAGAGGGTGTCACCGGGTGGAGGGAGGCGGGTGGATTTTCAAAGGGCAACACACCATTATGTCCAAATGACTATCCCTTTCAAAGTAGTCATAGTATTTCTATGATGCCTGCTAGTTCATAAAACATTTTTGTTTGTTTGTTTGAGGAAGATTAGCCCTGAGCTAACATCTGCTGCCAAGCCTTTTTTTTTTTTGCTGCGGAAGACTGGCCCTGAGCTAACATCCATGCCCATCTTCCTCTACTTTATATATGGGACGCCTGCCACAGCATGGCTTGACAAGTGGTGCGTAGGTCCGCACCTGGTATCCAAACTGGCAAACCCCAGGCTGGCGAAGCAGGACGTGCGAACTTAAGTGCTGCGCCACTGGGCCGGCCCCCATAAAACATTTTTGATAATCTTTTGGGTTTGCCTTTGAAGCTTGTGTCACATTTGTAAGAGCATGCTCACTGGTGATGAATCTTGCCCTCAGAATGGATTTGATTTTTTTCAAATGGCGTCACTTGAAGTCAAGTCTAGTGAGTGGGGACGGTGGGGGAGGGGGAGGTGAGCACGCTGGTCAAACGGGCTTCCTAAAACGAGGTGTGACTATAAAGTCATCACTGTGGGTCCTTGGGGGTGATGGTGAGACTTCCATCCCAAACTTGAAAATGACAAAAATAAGACTTCCTTCTCTTTGAGAGTTAAATTTTAAAGCCAACATCTCAATGGAATTGATCAGAGATGCATAAAACTACCCAGGAAGAGAAAGAATTCCTCTCAGGGCTGGACGAGTTTATCTCTAACAGGATTAAATACAGTAATGGTTGCACAGAATGGGCGGGGGTGAGTGGAAGGGGTGCATGGGGAGGGCGCTGGAGGAGCAGGTTGGGAAAGAGAGGTGAGCTGCAGACGCAAACATGGTCTGAGCCAACAGGCATTGACTATCCAGGCCCCGGGGGTACAACCTTTCACACAGCAGAAACAGAGGTGTGGGGCAACTTTAGCTGATCATATTAAGCATTCAAATTACCTATTTCACTTTCCTTCTTCCAAGTCTGCACCTTCCAAAAACTTACTGAGGCATGGCTATGTCCTAGATACGGTGCTGAGCGCCCTGCCATGTGACCACATTATCACCTACAATAAGAGACCATCATTCCTTTGCCAATGAGGATTCTGAACGTGGAGATGGCAGGCAGGCTGTCGTCAGTCTCACAGCAAAGCCAGAATTTCCAACAAAGTCAAGCTAGCCTCAAAGGCCACGTGCGTAACTCCTCTGCCATCCTGCCTCTGCCAACTGTACTTCCTGGGTGAGAGGTCAAGGATCATGTGCCCTGAGGGCCCCGTCTGCTGAAGATTATATTGCTCACTTGAAACCAGCACGCTGACATTTTATAAATCAGTAATGATTTATACATCAGTACTTTGAACTTGGTTAATGTGAGTCTTCTTCTGAGGATGAAAACTCAGGTCCCTGAGCCTGCAGAACTAAAGAACTGACTTGACACACTGAAAAATTCACCTTGGGGAGGCTGACTTTTGGCCTCTCCATGGTGACATATCCCTTAATTTAGCCTATCCCCACAACCCCTTATATATCGGAATTTCTATAGTAAGAAAACAAATTTTCTTAGTGACTCATAAGTTGAAGGCAACTAAAGGGCTCTCAGCAATAGCAGCATCACTGGAATAAACTTTATCATCTCAAACTATTTCTTTTCAAGGACTGTACCTGTTTGGACACATATCTGGTGAAAAGATTTACAAAGTTAGTCCCGTTACTTTATAGAACAGTTATGACAGATCACATGCATCACTCTCGGTGAAGAAAAGCTGACATTTATTACCCGCAATTTACAAATGGGGAAATAAAGGCACGGAAGGGGGGAGATAAGAGATCCTGTAAGACATTTAGGTGACAACTCCTAAATCTTAAGTCCCTTTGGAAACCACAACTCTTTCTTTTGCTATGACAGTGACTGGCAATGCCCCAGCTGGTGGCTCCTTCATCAGTGGGGTCAAGAGCCACTAGCCGAATGGACGTGGAACACGAGTAAGAAATAAACCTCGCTGCTAAGCCATTGTGACCTTTGGGGTTGTTTGTCATCACAGCATTACCTGGCCTATCCTGATCGATTCAGACACGGGACCTTTAATTCTCTGTACGGTTGGTTTAAAACCATGTAAGGCATCAGCCTTGTAATTTCCTGATCTTGCAAACGAAGACAACACCCCACCTTGAGTGTCAGTGATTAATGAACTGCATTGTTCCGAATGTTTCTTAAACTCGTTTAGAGAAAGCTGCTGGGTCAGCAGAAAGCTTTATGCTAGTCCGCACTTCGAAGGGATATTTACGGGATCCTGCTGATTATAATTTGCCAATTACCTGTGCTGTAAACATTTGTGGAGTTTGCAGGGATTGGGCTGGGCGCGAGGCCAGAGAGGTGGCGGGCAGCCCAACCAAGTTCTGCAGGACAAGCTGGGCAGACGCCTCCGTGCCAATGGAGGGAGGCAAGTCCTGCGTGCCTCAGGTTGGAAACAGACTTTACTGGGTCATTGGTGCCGTCCTGGCCCTATGGGGACACTACATTTAAGACTTTCTCTCAGCCTGTA